TTGAGCCCTATTTTCGGCCAATTCCTGTTTACTAATCGACAAAAATCATATTTATTTAGCTAGAACTCCATTTTTTCTATCAAATGAGCACAAGAAATCACCCATTTACCAATTTCAACTCTCCAATAACGTGGTTAGAAACTGGCAATTTTGCCAATTTCACACAAATTTCAGAAGATGCCAATTTCCAAATAGGGTCCAGAATAAACAAGACAGACATTCCTGGCACTAAAATAAAATTTTCTCTGTTCATTAGTCATGTTCCTAGGCCCCTCTTACATTTCTTTTGCTTTCCACTTTGAATTTTTATTCTCACAAAAAATAGAAGATTTATTGTTATGCAGACTACTGCATTAGTGTAGAAATGGTATAAATAATATCAGTGCACTTGTGAAAGAATATCAGACTCACCAGTTGACGTGCATTGGGCGCTTGGCATGATTTGTTTATTTTTGAACTTCGGTAAAAATTGAACATTTCTGCTCAATTTCAAGGTACTTTTCATTGTGAAACCAATAAAATCACCTCAATTTCTGTAATATGTCTTCCATTCTATAAAATGAGACCAGGAAAACTAGAATACAACCATAAATACCATACGAAAATACAGTGCAAAGTCGCTGTTTTAATCCAAAAACACAAAGTTTTTTTTTTCTCATTACGCACTGTGTGCTGCAGGATTTTTTTTATACTGCACACACTGACCACATAGACCCATTCTTTCATATGTAGGCCTACCAGCTTTATCTCGCTAGATTTGAAGGCGCTAGAATTTAGGTATTCTAGTACGTCAATAACCCTGGTGTCGTAAGCTGTACTAGTATGTCGGAAACCCTGAAAGGGTTAAGCAATCCACAGCCCTCACAGAGATTGACACAAAAAAACGACTCTGACAAAATATGGATAACAGGGTACAACTTATTTAGATGTGGCAGAAAGAAAAGCAACAAAGGGGAAGGGTTACTGAACACCACAAATGATGTAGCTGAAGTTTCAACAATAAAGATCTAGAACTAAAAACTTAGCATTGTGGTTGTAAATAAGCCACCAGATGCAACTTCCCAACAGTTCAAGGAACAGTTGCTGAAAACTGATTACTGTCTGGACAATCTTCCAACCCCAGCCCCAAATATCTTGCTGCTGGGTGATTTCAATTTAAGACATACAAAATGAAAGAATGTAGCAAATAATGTTATAGCAGAGACAATCCCTGGAGGCAACTCAGATGAAAAATCACACACACATGAATTGCTGAATCTCTACAATAAGTTCACCTTAAGCCAACAGATAGTGGAGTCAACAAGACTGGAAAACACACCTGACCTTATTTTCATGAATAATGCTGACCTGGTACATAATATAACAGCATCAGAGACAGCTAATGCAGCCCACAAATCCTTTTTGTATACCTTAAGTATGGCATGGAGAGGGAGCCTTGATATGAAAGTCATCCCACAGTCACTAAAAACAATAGATACAGTCCCACTCCATAAAGGTGACAACAAAGCAATAGCAAAGAATTATAGATCGATAGCTCTAACATCCATCATAAAAGCCTTTGAAGAGTTCTAAGAAGCATGATTGTTTAGTTATTGGATTTCCAATAACTAAACAACCACAGGTTGTTCAGGTTGCTCCTGCTTCTTGCAACAACTGGATCACTATGACATAATCTCGGATGTACTGGAGGACAAGCAGAATGCAGATGTAGTATACACAGACTCTGCAAAAGCCTTCGGCAATATGTGTGCTAGAGGAATAACTGGAAAAGTGGGCAGATGGCTCTTCAACTTTCTAACCAACAGAACACAGAGTAATGACAACAGAGTTAAGTCGGAGGCGGCCACAGTGAAAAGCTCTGTTCCACAAGGTACAATACTTGCTCCATCCTGTTTCTAATCCTCATATCAGACAAAGATGTAAACCTTAGTACCGTGTCTTCTTTTGCAGACGATAATAGAATCTGCATGAAAATTTCATCCAGTGAGGACATGGAAAATCTCCAAGCAGACATACACCAAGTTTTCCAATAGGCTACAGAAAACAATATGATATTCAGTGAGGACAAATTTCAGTTACTCCATTATTGAAAACTTGAGAAAATAATAATTAGAACAGAGTATATTACAAACTCTAACTACACAACAGAGCAAAAAACTAATGTGAAAGATTTGGGAGTGATAATGTCGCAAGAATCACAAGTGTCACTATCATATCTGCCAGGGAAAATGACAGGATGGATAATGAGAACTTTTAAAACAAGGGATGCCAAGCCAATGCTGATCCTCTTTGAGCCACTTATTTTCTCTAGGCTGGAATACTGCTGTACACTAACAGCCTCATTCAAGGTAAAATTGCAGATCTACAGAATGTACAGAGAAGCTTCACTGCCTATCTTAGCTCAGTCAAACACCTTAATTACCCAGAATGTTTGAAGTCCCTTGACCTGTACTCTCTGGAATGCAGGCAAGAAAGATACATCATAATCTACACTTGGAAAATCCTTGAGGGACTAGTCTCTAATCTTCACACAAAAATCACTTCCTACAAAAGCAAAAGACTAGGCAGACAGTGAAACATACCCCCAATGAAAAGCATCAGGACCATGAATACACTAAGAAAAAACAAAGTAAGTGTCATGGGCCCAAGACTGTTCAACAGCCTCCCACTATACATAAGGGGAATTACTAATAGACCCCTGGCTGTCTTCAAGAGGGAACTGGACAGATGCTTAAAGTCAGTGCTTGATTTGTATGCTGGATTGTGTGGCCAGCAATAACAGCCTGGTTGATCAAGCCCTGATCCACCAATTTCACTATCCTCTCTACATAATAATAATAATAATAATATCTTTGTGAATATAATGTGAATATAATGCAGAGAATTCGTAGTTTGGAAGTTAGGTGTGGGATTGCCAAAACTGTTGTCCAGAGGGCTGAGGAAGGGTTGTTAAGGTGGTTCGGACATGTAGAGAGAATGGAACAAAACAGAATTACTTCAAGAGTGTATCAATCTGTAGTGGAAGGAAGGCAGGGTAGAGGTTAGCCTAGGAAAGGTTGGAGGGAGGGGGTAAAGGAGGTTTTGTGTGAGAAGGGCTTGGATTTCCAGCAAGCATGCGTGAGCGTGTTTGATAGGAGTGAATGGAGACAAATGGTTTTTAATACTTGACGTGCTGTTGGAGTGTGAGCAAAGTAACATTTATGAAGGGGTTCAGGGAAACTGGCAGGCTGGACTTGAGTCCTGGAGATGGGAAGTACAGTGCCTGCACTCTGAAGGAGGGGTGTTAATGTTGCAGTTTAAAAACTGTAGTGTAAAGCACCCTCTGGCAAGACAGTGATGGAGTGAATGATGGTGAAAGTTTTTCTTTTTCGGGCCACCCTGCATTGGTGGGAATCGGCAATGTGTTAATAAAAAAATAAATAATTACTACAAGTACATGTACATGGTATACAGGCCTAGCTGACAACAATGACATACTACTATATAGAAAGCCCCTTGTTATGCTCTGCATGTCGGGCAAATTAGGTCAGTGTCCCAGGATGCGACCCACACCAGTCGACTAACACCCAGGTACCCATTTTACTGATGGGGAACATAGACAACAGGTGGAAAGAAACACGCCTAATGTTTCTATTCTGGCTAGTAATTGAACCAGGCCCTCGCCGTGTGAAGCGAGAGCGTTAGCCACCAGGCCATCAGAGCCACATGCTCAACAACCTCAGCAGCCCTTCCTCAGCCCCCCTGAATTATACCTTTGATAGCCTCACAACATCTAATTTCTATTCTCTAAATTTTATGTATAATATTCACATTACAGTGGACCCCCGCCTTACGATCAGCTCCCAACTCAAACAATTATGTAAATGTATTTTTGTAAGTGCTTTTGTACGTGTATTTTTGGGGGTCTGAAACGGACTAATCTAATTTACAATATTCCTTATGGGAACAAATTCGTTCGGTAATGGCACCCGAACAGACTTCTGGAATGAATTAATATCGTAAGGCGGGGGTCCACTGTACATGTATAATATTGCACACAGCTCTCAAATTTGACCGTTCCACTGCTTCTAGGTCCCTTGCTTCACACCCTCAAAAAACATTGGTACCACTATATTCTGGTTCATTTCTATTTTTTATTCCTAAGATGCCTTAAAACATCACTTATCTATTTCCCCTCCTCTATTCTACAGTTCATCTCATGTTTCACAGACCCATCTGCTGACATACTTTATTCTCCCTGCCTCCAATCTGACATTCAATCACTCATTGCCTAGAATTAATCTGCTACTTTCATCACTTTGTTCTTTTATTTATTCAGTTGTAATTTTCTTCTTTTATACACCCTCCCAAATTCATGCACAAGCCTTTCTCCACTTCTCTTCAGAATTCCCACAAGAAAAAGCAAAAAGCATCTGTGACAACTTGCACTATATGTCAGATTTATTACCTTTTAATGCCATACCTCTACCCAACACTATAGTATATTAGAATTCCCGTATCCACGGGGGATATGTCCCAAGGACCTGCCGTGGATACTGACACCACAGATATTAGTAAACCCTATATATAAGTCCTATGCATATCTATTACAAAGTTTAATTGATAAATTATGCACAATAAGTGGAGAATTATCACTTTTTCACTGATGGGATGCACTTTATGGCTTCTCTTAGACTTTAAAGAACTGCCAGCTTGTCTACTTTTGTGCTTTGGGACCATTATTATGCAAAATTAAGAGGTATTTTTGGGCCACAATAAACCATGGATAACTGAAACCACTGATAATGAATCAGTGGATACAGGGGTTCTACTGTATTCACTTCTTTTACAACACCATTTATAAATATGTTCAACAACCATGGAGACATCACACATCCCTATTTTAAGTCTACTTTTACTGTAAAATAATCTTCCTTCTCTCCTAAATACCCTAACTTAAGCCTCACTCTCTGCATAAATATTATTGTTGTTGTTGTTATTTGTAGACTGTTAAATTCCTGAAAATATCCAAATTCACATAAGTCATTCAACACTAGACAGCAGAGATGGTGGAGGTAGAGAAGAGGAGGACACTGAAATAGCACATGGGTCTCACAGCTGATGCAGTAAATCAGTGTCAGTCAAGAAATTATACATAAGAATCAAACTGAATTCAAGTGGGACTGATGGAGGAGAGAAGTTGAAGCAAGAACGTCAGAAGTGAGAGGAAAATGGAAGGCCTATACAACATTTGGATAAATCAACATGAATTACTGCACTTATACTTTATACAAGAAATATATCTTACCTCAAAAACGAATTTCTTCAAAAGATCAGCAAAGAGCTCAGTAGGAAGATAAGTATAGGGTGTTATGTTCAGGTACAAGGCCTCCAAACCTTGCACAATAAATTCTTTTTCATTTGTGTTTTGGTCTGTACATGCCTCATAATATGAAGTCTCATAACTGGTTAGTTCTCTAATTTCTGAAGAACTGTTGATATGATTAGAAGGATATATCATTTGATCACTGTCCAAGCACTCAGTATCATCGAGTGTTGCAACATCCTGAGACTCGCTCATCACACACTGGGAGACGTTAGCACAATATACAGGTATATCATTGAGACATTCAGTTTTAATTACAGATGCCATGCCTTTCTTTAAATTATATTTTGTTAATTTCAGGTAAACAGGAGAGTCACTTTCTCTAATCAGAGGTGGTCCAGCATTTACTCCCTTGCTATCAACAGATGGCTGCTTCACTCTGGTGCAGATGTTCTGAAATTCATCAATTCTGTTACTATTTGTAAAGTAACTTACATTACCCAAGAGAGTCTTGAGAGGAAAGAGAAGAGACTGGAGTGAGTGTATGAGTGAGCTACTATCATTATATCCAAGAGGCTTAACCTCTCTTAAAATATCAAAGTTAGTATAGTAGTGTGTGTCACCAAATGGTTCAGTCTCTTCTCTTGACATGATACTCCATGAAGACTCTGGGGAGGGATCACACAAGTTACTTTTCATCACCATAATACTTGATATCATTTATACGTATTTACTTAAAATAAAAAAAATAAATAAATGGATGGGTTTATGAAGGATGAGGTAAACCATGGAATCAATGAAGGAAAAAGGGTGGGGGGTGGTGCACTGAGGTATCTGTGGAGACAAAGAACATTATCCATGGAGACAAAAAAAAGAGAATGTATGAGAGTATATGGGTGTGAAGCATGGGTTGAAAATGCTGCACCAAGGAGGAGGCTGGAGGCAGTGGAGATGTGTCTAAGGACAATGTGTGGTGTAAACATAATGAAAATTTTTGTATTTTGGGAAATTTGGGAAAGGAAGTTTTGGAGTTACAAAAGTTTTATTCAGAGGGCTAAAGGAGGGGTTTGATTTTGGTTTTGCCCATTTAGGGGGGAAGGAGAAAAAATATAAAGTCTGGGGGGTTTTACAAATCTTTGTGGAGGGGAGGGGGGGTGGGGGTTTTTCCTTAAAAAAGATGGGAGGGGGGGGTAAAAAGAGATTTAGTGGAAAGGGGGCTTGACAAACTGCAGGCATGGTGAGCAGGGTTAGAAAGGAAAAATGGAGAAAAAATTTTTTTGGGGGATTGACACCCTTTTGGGAGTGTGCCCCGGGAAATAATTTTTTGTAAAGGGGTTTCGGGGAAAAACCATTTACCCCACATTTTTACCCTTGGAGAGGGGAATACAATCCTCCCTTTAAGGGGGGGTTTTTGGGGATTTTGGGTTTTTGGATGACATCTGAACTGTCGAAACTGGGGCGCCTCTGCAAAAAAGGCGATTGGGGTGTGAATAAAGGTGAATTTAAGTGGGGAGTGTGTGTGTGTGTGTGTGTTTTGGTGTGTGTGTGTGTGTGTGTGTGCGGCGTGGGGGTTGCGTGTACTCACCTATTGTACCCCCCAAATTTGATTGGGGGGGCGGTCCGAGCTCCGGGCCCCCACCCCCCCTTAAACCTGGTCCCCACTAGGTTCCCCTCTCCCTGAACCATGACTTTATCGAACCTCTGCTTAAAGCTATGTAGGGAAACCTGACTCCACTACTTTCTTTTTCCCAAACAAATTCCACTTCCTGACTACTCTGTTTGGCTGGAAGAAATACTTCCTAACACCCCTTTGATTCATCTGTGCTTCAATTTTCCAACGGGTTTTCCCCTTGTTACTGGTCCCAGTCTCGGGAACATCCTGTCTTTGTCCCCCTTGGGCATGTGGGGTTGCATGTGTGGGGTGTGTGCGTCCCGTACGTGTGCGTCCCGTGTGGGGCGCGTGCCACGTCCCGTGTTTTCCGTGCGCGCGTCGTGCGCATGTCGTGGGGCATGCTTCATGCATGTCGTGCTGTGTATGTGTACTCATCTAATTACTCACCAATTGGGGTTTTCAGACAAACTGGGGCTAAAGAATTCATTGATAAATTTCAAGGGAAACAGGGTTAAAGGGGATTCCTCCCCAACAAGTGTTCAATTGTACAAAAACCCCCTTTTTTGGGGAAAAAATTTGCCAAAGAACCTACAACCAAACAGGGGAAAAAGGCCACGCCAGACACAAGCCTAAAAAGGAAAAGGAAGCTTTTTTTTTTCTGGGGTAATCTAGGGGATTTAAAAAGTGAACCTTTACGGGTTTGTATCACTCTGAAAACCCCAGAGTGTTAAAAAAAAACAATGTCCCGCATGAGTAAATTGTGTTGTTGGGGAAAGCTAATAATAAGGCAGGGGCCCACGAGGCAAATTTTCACTGACGGGGTCCTTTAAGGGTTTTTTGGCCCCCGAGTGGGGAAAAAAATCCCTCCTGGAAAATAAATTGCCACTCAAGTGCCTCCTGGTACTGGACAATGCCCCCTCTAAACCCCCAAAGATTTGAACGCCCAAAATTTTTTTGGGCCCTTCATTTTATAACATTTGAAGTTCTTGCCCCTAACACCACTCCTCTCTTCCACCCATGGATGAGCAGGCCCATTTCTAAAATTCAAAAAACTCTACCCAAAGCAATGTTTCAAAGGTGCTTTTTTGGGGAACTTGGGAAAACCCGAAATTTACCCTAAAAAGTTTTGGAGGATCATTTCAAAATCCCCCCACTGCGAAACCCTTTTAAAGGGAAGGGGTTGGCAGGAAGGTTTACTTCCCGACTTTTAAATCTGCTTTGGGGGAAAAATTTTGGCCCCAAAAGTGCCCCCAACAAAGGTTTTTTAAAGGTTTTTAGGCTGACCCGTTGCCCCCATGCCCGTTTTGCAATGATTTTTGTCTTTGGGGAAGTCCATGGGGGTTTTTTTCCCTGGCCCCGGATTGGAAAGTTGGGGGAGGGCCCGGGAATAGCTAAAACCCCTGAAGAGCTGCAAGACCCTTCCCAAAAGGAACAGCAACAGACTGAGCTGAGGAAATTTTCTTCACAGGAGGAGGGAAAAGAGAGGGGAAAAAGGTGCCTTCTTCATGATTAAGGATATTTGTGGGAAAATGGGAAAGGGGGGTGCAAACTTTTGTTGAAAAATACAAACACCCTGACCAAGCTATACAAGCCGTAACTGCAAAAGTTTTAGCGACAATAAACCCCCCATTTTTTGGCAAATCTTAAAAAGGCCCCAAAACCCGCTCTCTGGAAAAATTTTTAGTGGGGGACAGAGGTCCAATGTCAGTTTAAAAAAACAAAGAAGGGAAGTAACCCCAAGGGGGCCTGATACCTGAAGTCCCCTTTTTAGAGGATTTTCCCCTTCAAACAAAAAACTCAACTCTGTCCACCTCCTCGCCTTTTTCAATCGCCAACAAAAATCTTCAAAAAAGGGGGGTCTGTTCATTTAAACATTAAAATTAGTTCTTTATATTTTCAGTAAAGGGCCCCCCCCTTACAAAGGGGAGGGCAGGTTTTCCCGGGTAAAAGCCCAAAAACGGAAATTTGGGCCCTAAATTGGGAACCAAACCCCTTTTTTTCCACATGTAAATGCTTAAAAATTTCTAATAAAAAGTTTACAAAATAACATAATTAATTAGCAATAGAACTAGGCATTAAAAACAAAAAAAAGTAAATACACATATAGTACACCATTAATTATTCAAAATATTTTTAATCCCAATTAATCTAGTTGAGATAGTTTTTTTTGCCCAATTTAAAACAACGTGGTATGTAGGTAGCCAGCCAGGGTACCATACCAGGCCCCCCCCACCCATACATAATATTTAGACATTTTAAACCCTCCCCCAAACGATAAAAAAAGCAATTCATTTACTCTTACTTATTTTTTTTTTTATTATCGCACTGGCCATTCCCACCAAGGCAGGGTGGCCTAAAAAAAAAAATTTTTACCATCATTCCTCCATCACTGTCTTTTCCAAAGGGTGGGTTTTTCACTACAGTTTTTTAAAATGCAACATTAACACCCCTCCTTCAGAGTGCAGGCACGTACTTCCCCTCTCCCCGGACTCAAAATCCGGGCCTTTCTGGGTTTCCCCTGAATCCCCCCTTTTAAAAAGGGTTTCTTTAAATCACACTCCAACCGCACTTTAAGTATTAAAACCCTTTGTCCCATTCCTCCCCATCAAACATGCTCACGCATGCCTTCGGAAGTCCCAAACCCCCGCAAACAAAACCTCCTTTACCCCCCCCTCCCCCCCTTTCCTAGGGGCCCACCCCCCACCCCGCCCTTTCCCTTTCCCCTACAGACTGATACACTCTTTTAAAACACTCTTTTCGCTTTCCCTTTCCTACATGTCCGAACCACCTCAACAACCCTTCCTCAGCCCTCTGGACAACAGTTTTGGTAATCCCACACCTCCTCCTAACTTCCAAACTACGAACTCTCTGCATTATATTCACACCACACATTGCCTCAGACATGACATCTCCACTGCCTCCAGCCTTCTCCTCGCTGCAACATTCATCACCCATGCTTCACACCCATATAAGAGCGTTGGTAAAACTATACTCTCATACATACCCCTCTTTGCCTCCAAGGACAAAGTTCTTTGTACTCCACAGACTCCTAAGTGCACCACTCACCCTTTTTCCCTCATCAATTCTATGATTCACCTCATCTTTCATAGACCCATCCGCCGACACGTCCACTTCCAAATATCTGAATACATTCACCTCCTCCATACTCCTCTCTCCCTCCAATCTGATATCCAATCTTTCATCACCTAATCTTTTTGTTTATCCTCATAACCTTACTCTTTCCTGTATTCACTTTAAATTTTCTTCTTTTGCACACCCTACCAATTCATCCACCAATCTCTGCAACTTCTCTTCAGAATCTCCCAAGAGCACAGTGTCATCAGCAAAGAGCAACTGTGACAACTCCCATTTTATGTGTGATTCTTTATCTTTTAACTCCATGCCTCTTGCCAAGACCCTCGCATTTACTTCTCTTACAACCCCATCTATAAATATATTAAACAACCACGTGACATCACACATCCTTGTCTAAGGCCTACTTTTACTGGGAAATAATTTCCCTCTTTCCTACATACTCTAACTTGAGCCTCACTATCCTCGTAAAAACTCTTCACTGCTTTCAGTAACCTACCTCCTACACCATACACCTGCAACATCTGCCACATTGCCCCCCTATCCACCCAGTCATACACCTTTTCCAAATCCATAAATGCCACAAAGACCTCTTTAGCCTTATCTAAATACTGTTCAATTATATGTTTCACTGTAAACACCTGGTCCACACACCCCCTACCTTTCCTAAAGCCTCCTTGTTCATCTGCTATCCTATTCTCCGTCTTACTCTTAATTCTTTCAAGACGGAGAATAGGATAGCAGATGA